GGGACTCTTAGGGTGAAGTGCTATATAATGACCTTTTGTTGAGGAATGAATCCACGTTTTTTTCAGTTTTTTCAAAGTTGAGATGTGAACTTCTACCCTTAGGGCAGAGGCTTGATAAAACTTTCATGCAGTTTGTAATGTGAAAGGGCACAGACATCAGTTTTGAAAGAATTTAGTCTGAGGTAAACTTGGCATGTGTTTTCCCCCAGTTTGAGGTTTGGTTGAATTTGCATACAGTTTGTAACTTGAAAATGAGCAGATACCTGAGCTTTTTTAAGAAAAAAAAAATTAAAGTCCGAGGCGAATTTGGATTGTGTTTTCCCCAGTTTTTGTCAGCTCCAACTGCAGAAGCAGAGGAGGAACTTAAGCAGAAACTCCTTCGAGCTGGAGTACAGGGCACTCCTTCTGCCGTTTGCCTTGGACAAGAGAGGGGGTGGTTCAGGTTGGTCTTTGCAAAGGACAAGGACACTCTAGAGACAGGCAAGTGTTTGGGGCTTGTGAAGGGGGGGTCTACTAAGACAAACCCTTCAGAGAAGGATCTGAGAGAGGGGCAGATTGGTGCGGTCTTTGAGAACAGAACAGGGTACAGTATGTTTATGTGCCAGACAGTCCTAGTCAAACTACATGTACACGTACATGTAGAGTGCACTTTGAAATCTCATTGTCTTACATGTTGTTGATTGGATCTCACATTGTGTTCATGGTGTCTGCCACCTCATGCAATTGTTGTCACGGTCCCCTCTGTAATTCATTACGAAAGAAGCCATTGATATTGACTAGATGGTTCAACTTTCAGTTGGTGGGTGGGTTCTGGATCGTTGGTGATTATTGTATTTGTTGTTAACAAGGCAATAGATTTTGACAGAACATTTCATTTAATTTTTTTTGTGTGATCATGGCACATTGTTATGTTAGTTTGCAGTGTGTTTGAATGCAGTTCATGTATCACTTCATTTCAATTTTGGTTCCTTTTTCAGCTTTGGCAAGAATGCAGAAAGCCCTAAAGACAAATTAACTACATGTGCATTCGTGAGCTGTGACCTGAAGGTATGGAAGTCGGCAAAAAAGGGTTTCGGATTGTCATTTGATCGCTTTGAGGCCACATCTCGAGTTTAATCATTTGTGTCCTGCCAGACTGGCTGCGCAACAGTTGATTGGAATCAATCGGAAATCAGCGTTCCTGGTCACTCTTCATTTAGTCATTTTAAGTTGATGTCCTATGAACTAGAGCATTCAGACCTTTCCACAGAATTCAGCATGCAGTCGGTTTTGTCTAATGATAATAATTATATAGATTTATATAGGGCACTTATCCAGAAAACCGATCAAGGCACAATTCCATTATTATTACCCCTGCTCACTGGGCTCATGAAACATTCCAAATACCATCTCAGCTCCCTGAGGCAGCTGCAAAGTTAGTTCCTTTTTGTGGAATGCCCCATGGGTAAAGACATGCATGTCTGATCTGAAACTGAATTTGACTTTGATCTTGACTCAAATTGTTCCCCTTAAAATGTCAAATCCCGTGGAATCAATGGCAATTAAGCCCCCCAATCAGGTTTTGGCTAAGGACATCATTAATAGTGTGTCAGGAAGTCCACACTCATCAGGTCAAGTCCTTCACCTGGCTATTTTGTTTCAATCAAATGAGAAGTGATGTATTTATAGGCCAAATGAAGCAACTTGGCTTTACAGCCCGTACAAAATGTGTTTTTTTATGCCGTGCTTTAAAGTTGCACTTGATATTTATGAACACTTGAATTTCAGCTGTAAACTGAAGGACATGTAACAACAGTATTCATGGACTCGTTGCCTAATGTATCTTTTGATATTGCTTACGAAATGGAATTATTTGTGTAGGGACTGTGCCTTAGCAAGGGTGGTCTCACTGTCGTGATTCTAACACATGAATATGCATAGTTTGTAGCTAATCTACATTGTTTCTGTGTTATTTGCATGTTTGTATGTCTAGTAATTGTTACTTGGTGACCTTTGTGCTTCCCGCGCACAAGGACTGGTTGTACTTGGTTGACATCCACCAGGAAAATAAGTCCAAAGATTATTTTAGATAACTTACTGAATGTATCAAAACTATTGTCATGTACAATAATAACCCCTTGTATTATGACATACTTTGGTGACGTGTTAATTGAAGCTCGCGTTACTTGTACTATAATTTACTTGGTAAGTAACTCTTTGCGTATGGAAACAAACAAGACAGCACAAGAGACGGTCGAAGACTTTGGGTTGGCCGTGGAGCTCCAGTTTAAGAGGTACACAGAGAGCATGGGTATATTTTGATATCAGTAGCACCCATTTCCACGTCTGTGTAGGCATAGTCCCATGGCGAATTTGTAGTCCAGTCTACATAGAAACCCTCAATGAGTACATGTACTTCTTGATTTCGATGTGCTATGATGTGTAAGGACATTGCTGTTCACTTTGATGTATCCCGTGTAAGCAAGAAAGCACATGTACATGTATGCTATAGTCTGTGAATGGAGAGTGTACACAGTTGGCTCACTGGGAGCTCTCATTTTGTCATTTCAGGCAGTGGGGGTTTTTGTCACTTCAAGGATCTAGCTTGTTAGGATGCCTGTGACAATTGCTGGTCACCAATAAATCATAAATCAATTTTCCTGCCGAGTCTGTCTTGGTCTTTGTGCATATATCGTGCCAGTGCTCGTTTCGTTTCACAATGGGACCGGGCCTCCTCGTGGCGTCTCACTACATTTGCAAGATCACTACAAATTGTTTTTATGTTTGCATGTTTTGGATGCTATACGTGCTTTTGATGTTTGCATCGTTCATGGGGTAAAGGAATTGCTTTTGGCCAACTAACATGGCTTTTATAAAAATTCAGTTAAGCAATTAAGCTTTGCACAAAAAGAAAAAAAATACCCAAAGGGACAGTATCAGTTATGATAAACTTGCAATTTCATAATTCAGCTTCAGACGAGAAAAAAAACAAAACAGGCTTTGACGATATCCCTGACATTCAGTTGTAGTTTTCCAGGATCAAGGCTCAGAAAAGAACAAGACAAGAAAGTTAAGAATAAACACAAAACAATGAAACAATATGGGCGATTTACAATAGTGCGCCTCCAAGAGTTTTCAACCCATTGACCAATCACAGTGTGTGAAATCTGTCGACCCAGCGCATGGTTGGAAAGAGTCGACAGATTTAGCGCCTTGTGATAGGTTAGCCTGTTGCAACCTCTTGGAGGCGCGCTATTGTGAATCGCCCGTATTTGTGAGTGTTGAGCCTCAAGATCTGTGCCTACAGGCAGTTTCTCAGGTCATTGTTTTATGCAGGGATAATTTCACCTTAATATTGGAACCTATTTCGGAATACTCGGAATGTTTCTCAGCTGGAAATTGTTCAGCATTTTTTCAGCATAGTTGTTTTGGCTTGGCCCATGTTACATTTAGCCTGATTTGTTTCATTTCTTCTAACAGAAATACCTTCATGTAGCTTACGTATTGTGCGAATTATTGTTGACGCAAGTGATACTTTTATCATCGCCAAAATGTCACGACATTAGCTTCCGGTCTGATGATGTTATCATTTGAAACATTTTTTTTATCTCCAAGCATTTATGGTCCACTTTGGCAGAAGTATGGTACAGAATTCTGAATCAAAAGGGAAAAGCAATGAATTTTGTGGTCCAGAGGTAGCTNGCTTTTATGAAAATTCAGTTAAGCAATTAAGCTTTACACAAAAAGAAAAAAATCCCCAAAGGGACAGTATCAGTTATGATAAACTTGCAGTCTCATAATTCAGCTTCAAAAGAGAAAAAAACAGGCTTTGAAGATATCCCTGACATTCAGTTGTAGTTTTCCAGGATCAAGGCTCAGAAAAGAACAAGACAAAGTTAAGAATGAACACAAAACAATGAAACAATACGGGCGATTTACAATAGTGCGCCTCTAAGAGTTTTCAACCCATTGACCAATCACAGTGTGTGAAATATGTCGACCCAGCGCATGGTTGGAAAGAGTTGACAGATTTAGCGCCTTGTGATAGGTTAGCCTGTTGCAAACTCTTGGAGGCGCGCTATTGTGAATCACCCGTATTTGTGAGTGTTGAGCCTCAAGATCTGTACCTACAGGCAGTTTCTCAGGTCTTTGTTTTATGCAGGGATAATTTCACCTTTATATTGGAACATATTTTGGAATACTCGGAATGTTTCTCAGCTGGAAATTGTTCAGCATTTTTTCAGCATAGTTGTTTTGGCTTGGCCCATGTTACATTTAGCCTGATTTGTTTCATTTCTTCTAACAGAAATGCCTTCACGTAGCTTACGTATTGTGCGAATTATTGTTGACGCAAGTGATACTTTTATCATCGCCAAAATGTCACGACATTAGCTTCCGGTCTGATGATGTTATCATTTGAAACATTTTTTTTATCTCCAAGCATTTATGGTCCACTTTGGCAGAAGTATGGTACAGAATTCTGAATCAAAAGGGAAAAGCAATAAATTTTGTGGTCCAGAGGTAGCCGTGTGTATGCAGGAACGTCGCCATCCATTGTATTGTCTTGGCATACCATTTACAGTATATAAGGGAATTTGGTCGTTGATAATTTTTTTCGAGGTAACTAAGTTAAATTAAATTCAACTGTCCTTCATTAATTTTGCTATTGAACATATTCTTCTGGTAATAGTGGTAAAAATCTCGTCGAAGTGGATGATCTCAAGGATAATTTAATGGGTAAAAACACGAACGACTAACTTTCTCAGACGTGAAGTGAAACGACAGAAAAATTAACACATGCATACTAAAATGTATCAATTACTGTTGTATTCGAGACCCCTTAAGACCTTCACAAGACCAACACAAGGCCTCCAGTCTGAATTCAAGTCACGAGCTATTCAAATGAACCGCAACAAAAGTAGCCTTCGTCATTCACCCTGTTACTTGTGACTGGTCTTGTGCATGGTCTCGGCCAAAGATCGTATAGCGCCGAAGGCACAATCAAAGATCGTATATAGCGCCGAAGGCGCGCAACATAATGACGTAATGCAGTGTTTACCGGGGTGCATTGTGGGTGAAAGGTGGGGCTGTTGCAGGAACGCGTCGACGTGACACGTTATGTGTAACGTACACTATTTTGCGTGTGTATCGACTTCACACGAAAAAAATAAAAAATGAAAACATCCCGATTATCGCCCGAAATGGTCTATGTGAACTGCTGTGTCCTATTGTGTTTATCAAGCACTCAACGAACGCCAGAGCTGCGTTTTTTTAACTTCCACGGGACCGCAAAAGGCGACAGATTTGGAGAAGTTAGCCATCAAATCGTACAACTACCGACACAAACGTCTTACCAGCCGTCTAATACTAACCATCACCACACCATCTATGTAACCATACAATGAAACTGTCTGGATATGACTCTAGTATTCATTTAAGGCGCTCCATTATAGGCCAGATCATTGTGTAATCTTTTAGCACAAGGCGGTTCTTTAGATAAGGTCAAGAAAAGGTCGAATAAAGCCTGCTTTCGTTAGCACCACGTTCGGTACAGTTGTACTGTTACACACTTGAAATATTACAATGACAATTTCGTTTGTGCCGTCTGACCAAACTGTCCATCCAACCCTCCAGCCAAACCAGTGGACGTTTTGGTCGACAGTTGGTGGCGGTCCATGGTTGGTTGGACGATGGACAGTTTAGTCGCAACTAGGGTAGTCAAGCTTCAACTAAACTGTCAACCAAACGTCGACTGAACTAATTACTCTCTACCCAATAACTCTCTAACCAACTGTCAAACTAACTCTCTACACCAGCTCAACTAATCCCCCATCCAACTGTTTAACCAACGCAACATTCCACCTTGGTTGAAAGGTCTGAATGCCTGTTGACAATAGGTTGGACAAACCGAGGTTTATCACAACTGTCAACCCACCCTTCCACAAATTGGCCATGAAATGTTACCATGCCAACCGTCCATCCAACTATCCACCCAAACATCCACTCAACTGTTAACCTTACCGTTTGCCCATCCGTTCACCTGTCCGCACAAAAATACGTCACAAGTTGTCCACCCCACTGTTCACACAATTATCTTCAGACTGTCCAAAAAAATCTATTCACCCAGCCGTCCTCAGACTGCCCTTAGGCCTAAAGTGAAACTATCCAACTTTGAACTGCCAATTAACAACTATTCATCCAACCGGACGATCAGACGTGGAAACCAAACGTCCACCAAACTGTCCAGCGACGTCTCGTGTTATTGAAATAGATGATTGTCACAGTTTAATTTTTTGTATGAGAAAGCGAAGCGGTTTCTCCTTTCCGTTATTCCTCTTCCGGGTTTGGGCTACAAACTTGGAGGTATTAATTGAGGGTTTAGGATCCGTGAACAATTAGAGTGGCAAATAACTGTTGCCATTTCCTGAAGTCGCCCCATAGAATCAAAAGAAAAATGCAAACGAAACAACGAAGACAGAATCGTGATCAACGTGTAAAGTACGTATTAATCACTTTATAGCATTCCAAGGTGCGCATTTTGGGAATTCAGTTCAATTTCAATTAAATCATTGATCGTCTTTACAGTTATGACAATTTAATATTTAAAAAGTTAAGACAGGTAGTATTCAACGGTTGAAACATCCAGTGAGATACAACTTAAATTGCCCAAAACATTACATACAAAAAACTGGTATTATTCACACAGCTCCTAAGTGGGTCATAAAGGATACCCTGGGGACGAGGGGGAGAAAAAAAAGAAGAGGCATAAGGAGAAACGAGGGTCTGACGACACATGCAAACGAGAAGCAGAAAATGAATCAGTTAGTTCCTTCTAAAGGTTTCCTTGTTTCCCCCTTGTAGGCCTAAAATGTAAATTCTTACTGAAACGCATCGAAAAGTTGAAAATGCGCTTATCGAGTCTGCAGCTAATTTCTAGAATTTGTTCAGCGCACTTGACCGCCAGGAGGCGTTTCCTTAAAATTTGATGTGCACAGACACTGGAATTCTTTCTTTCTCTTTGCAGAAAATGTGGAAGTTAGTAAGATAGAATATTCTGTGTCTATGCATTGTCTCCATGAATGAAAACGTGTTACATGTCCCGGAAGGTTGGATCTTGAACGGTGCTGTTGAATTGTGTGGGCTTTCATTGGGCACTTTGTTGCACCCGCATATCGTCTGGACACAATAAGCAGTCGTTAAAACACGACGCTTTTCCGGAATTAATGGTAATGGTAATCCATTTACGGTTATTGATACTAAAATTTAAGTATGCTGGCGATGTAAGAAAAAGTCGTGGATAAGGTGAATGGCATTTCGTTCACACTAATCCTTTTATTCGTGTAGCCTAGTTTATTTAAAATGGATCTGGACCAGGAAGCAGACGGGGAGGTGTTCATAAGTCATGTCAGTTGTTTGGCTACCGTTAGATATCACACTTCACTTCAAGCCACAGGCTGGAGACACTACAGGGTGTATCATGACAAGTATACAGTCAGAAAATTAACTGCAAAATAAACGTGAACATTTTTTGAAAATCTCATTTCCTACATGGGTTAAATAGAGTATCTTGCTGTTATTGAACTTTTGATCATGAACAGATTTTCTTGCCTGAGTGACCAGGAACTATTTTCCTAAATCGCTCAAAATTTGGCTTGCGCAAACACTTCATAATTTGATCAAAAGTCCAGAAAAACAAGTATGGTACGTGTTTTGTTCCTTGGAGTACCTTGGAAGGTTTCTTTCAACTTTGTCTCCTCCCACCAACAAATCCCCCAAAAATGTTGGTTGCACAAGTCATGAGAACGGCAACTTGGTGTTCATTTGTTTGATTTCGCTGCATACCACTGGACGAAAAACATTTGCAGAATGTTTGCAATTGCATAAATTGGAGGGCCCTCTGTGCCACTGCTTCATTCTTTAGCAATGAAATCAATGAAACAAGAGCCCAGAGGTTGAGCTGTCGCCGTTATGGACTTGGGTTACCCTCTGCTACATTCAACAGAATTAGTCGCTTGGATTTACGCTTCTGTATACTTTTTTGGATACGCCCTGTATAGTACGAAAGTCCTGTTATGCCATCAAATATATTCAGTAAGTGAGGTGTATGTTTCATCGAGTTGGTTTTTATGAAGTATGGTTGCTATGATCGTTGTTATGAAGTACTTTTTTTAACTTCCTTTTTTTACGAGAAGTATTTTTTTTATACATATTCAGCAATTCGTGTTTTACAAAAGATAGATGTCGTTTTTGGAAACAGTCGTTTTTCGGAGATATATTTTTTCAAAGTTGATTTCAAACGAAATGTATTTTCAAGTTTTAATTTTTTTCCCCACAAAACAAACTTCAAAAAAATATACTTATATAAAAACGAACTTCACAAATGAATCTCCCAAAAACGTAAAATGTATCACTTACAAACTTTGAAAAGTGTACCGGTATCTTCTAAAAACGATCTGTTGCCAAAAAAACTCTTCATTTTCTGAAAATGCATACTTGATAGCACGACAAGACTTTCGTAGAATACATGCAGAAATAATTCGCTGATGTGTTTATTCGTGGTTCTTGAAGCCGACTAATCTGAACGCGGTTACAAAACTCTCTTAACTGGTCGTGCATAGACGGTATGCTTTTGACGACTCTCAACAGCCAGCTGAGGACGTGCACTGGTGCGACGGAGTGCATTTGAAGGGAGTTTGCCACCACAACACAAACGAATGCCCAGTAATTATACTATGGACTATTGCACTAGCTATAACGATGAAGCTCCTTGCATTCCACATTTTGAATGATGACATGTATAGACTACATTTATGGTTGTACACAGCCTTGTGGGTTATCAGACCCAAAGAGCTGTGCATATGGTTAATGGGACCCTCAACTTTTCTAGTCGGTTGAGTAGTGCTTTTAGTTTAATATAGGCTACCAGTGTTTATGAGTAAAGCCAATGTTAGATTGTAGCCAAACTGTAGGCGTCAGGCTTAATAAAATCTTTCAAGTACGTGCGAACACTTAATTATTGAACCGGTGAATACTCTACACTTTGTACTAAACGCGCACGCGTGAACATGCGCAGATGGGTTTTCTGTAAACAGCTGTTAATTTGCGTGTGAACTTGTAGTTTTTTATTCAGTCACGTTTCATCAAGCTACAGTAAAGCAGCACTATTGCAAAGAAATACTAATTTTGGTTAGATAATTTCTCAGTTAAATGAACTGACAAGTCGCCATCGCTCACAAGCGACAACTGTTTTTGCCAGTATTTCACCATTGCACTTCCTACAATAAAACAAGAACAATGCTATCTGAAAACGGGGTTTCTTACAGCGATTGCCTGTCGAAGCGGGCGCAGGAAGGAATTGTCGTCTGCAGGACAGCCAGCGTGGTCTCCTGCAGCGCAGGGGAGTTTATTGGCGAGTACGATCCTGAGACCAATCCTAGAGTAAGAGAGCTCAACTTTTGTTGTTATTATTCCTTCTCAACTTCTTTTATATACTTCTTTTTCCTTTTAGCTTAGATGGCTGAGGTAGGGGGAGAGGATATGTAAATTCTAAGCAGTTTAAGCCGCATACGTTGCAGCGATGGTCATGGTTTAGTAGGAAGACTATAGCGTGTCTTGAAATTGTCAAACTGCGAGAGTAAGAGTACGGAAGCGTTTAAGGGCCACTTGCACATTATCATTTGCAAGGTACGAGTTCGCCGCGCCGAGATAGTAACTCAAATGTTTCTCTTTTTTGCAAGTATAGCCGTTATAGGCGTCTGTATTAGAGCCTCAACTGGTTGAGTGCCTATTTTAGGCCGCGATTGCCTTGGACCTTAAGTACAACTTCCTAAATAAAATCTGCATATTTCATCAGTTCAGAATATGCATGAAGTGTGTGGGTATCAAGTGAAATAGTGTGGGTGTTATGGAGCCAATTGTAGTTGCAAGTGTCTACTTGCATAATTATTGTCTCCCAAAAATGTTGCTCAGCTTTACATTGTTATACTTTATACAGGGAGTGATCGACATGCATAGCGCCGAGAACAAAATGGTCTTCGATTTACTGAGAGAAAAGGTATGGTTCAGTTTCTAATATACCAAATGGTCAAATGTGTTTGAAATAAATACGTAATAATAATAATCTGGTGCTAAAAACTACAGACTCTCACACGGTAAGGACGTTGTCATAGCATTTTAGTCCGCTCAGGAAAGAAGTCTGCTCTCGGGTGTTACAAAACGGGGGTGGGGGGTGTTTTATTCAATTGCTCCATTGGCTGTCCTTGTGGCAGTTATTAGGAAACAAGCCGAAGTTAACATACCTTATACAAATTCCGAATTTGTTTAAAGAATCGGCTCTCTATCACGAATTTGAAATTCGTGATTGAGAGCCGATTTCTCTCTTTACAGAGTCCATTGATCATGACGTGCAGTCACTGTTTATCACATGTTACCATACAAGGACCCATGTTCACGTAATACGAGTTGTTTTTTGGTGTTGAAAGTTCAGAATCCCGGACGAATATTTTATGTACAACAATAACCTACGATTATTCTCAGACAACACACGAAATAGCCTCTGAGACGACGGTCTGACTTTTAGCACACATTTCGTATCCGTTGTTTTATTTCTTTTGTACTTATAATATAACTGTTACCAGAACTTCCGCAGCCTGCCGAAAAAATGAGCAAGCTTGCCCCGAAACACAGGGCACACTTGTCCAAATAGTTGCTAAGCTCGGCATCCCTACAGCCCTCAAATCCTAGGCATGCTTGCCGCCTAGTTAACTCTGATCAGAGTTAACTCTAGCCCCACCAGAACAAGTGGGCGCTAAAACTAGCCAAAATGTTTATAATACAGCCGTTTCACATTAGTGCTTGGCGTACCCTTCCTAAGATTAATCACAACAGATTAAAAGTTAACATCCAAACTTAAAATTTAACATAAAATGTAATTTCATAATTTGTCATTTTAGCTTGAAACTAACTTTCAACTAACGTTTAAAACCGGCCAAGCACATTATTTATTCCCATTCATGAAACCTTTTTATTCAGAGAGTAAAAATGAGACAGATTTCCAACGATTTTGTTCCAAATTTTGCTTTCATTTTCCCAAACACCCCCGTCCATTTTATGGTATATTCCTTTGAAAGTTGTCCAATAGAATCCCCCTCAATGAACTTGGCACGCGTGTGGCGCGTCGATCACGCGTCGCGTGCACATAGACTCCTGACCAATCAGACCCGATTAAAGGTTCTCGTATCCGCGTGCCAGCAGGTGATTTACGCAGCGGGCATTTATATCACTTCTTAGTGGGCATTATAAAAATGTTAAATACACGGTCACGTGACGCGTTTCGACCAATAAGAATAGGAAAACTGTCCAAGGTATTTGTGTATTGGGTGCGTTCGATTAGCTTACACGTGTAAGTCAAACTTACACGAGAGCGTTCGTTTAGCCATCACGTGACGTTCGTGCCTGCCCTGGTGTCAGCCACCACTACCCCAGCTGGCGAGCGGGTCTCTGGAGGCCGCCCAAGTGTAATGACGTCACGGATGGACTGTTCGAGCATGAACGTACATGATGGAACGAGGCGGGGACTTGACCTTTTTCCCAGAATGCCTTGGAAAACACACTGCAGCGTTCGATAAGCCTCATTTTGAGGCTTCCCTTGAGTGTAACACTGGTGTTTTCAGGGAAGCTAATCGAACGCACCCATTGTTTTTCATTAATTGAAAAAGGATATAAACAACGTACTTAATTCCTTCCTAATGACTATAGCTGCAGTCATGCGTGGAGAGCCCAAAGACCTGGGCTGACAACATGTTTCTCCATGCCTACGACGAGCCGGAAGGTGTCTTTGAACTGAGGGATGCTGTTGCTAAGTTTTTGACGGTTACAGCAAGGGCGCACAATCCCCTGGACCCAAACAAGGTAAGATTTTCTGCTGCTACATGTGGCATGGGTTCCTACTAGGCACTTGTTAGTGTCCCGCCTAAAAGACAACCTATTGTCGTGGTTATAACACACTCCATGCAGGAATGGTCTACAGTGCCGCGTGATTACCCGTCGATGCTCCATACAAGATTGCTTCATGCGCCTTCCCCTCGGGTATGGGGCACTACAACCACGACTAAAGGTCGGTTCTTACTTGGCATGAAAGTGAACACAAACACAAATTTTTGACACTGGATCAAATACTCGTGCTATGAAGTCGCATAAATTGAACACATTTCAACTTTTGCAGCAAATCTTTTGTGACCTCAAATTTGCTTCGCTTTCACATTCGATGAACAAGGAAATTAATATTTTCGACCAGATTTGCAAAACCCACAAAATTTTTGAAAGTTTGCTAGGCACATACAAGCCATAACGCTGACGTTCTGCCATCCCTCCCTGTCACCGTTGAGGGGTACTCATGAAAGTGCCCGGAGGTCTCTTGAAACCAAAGCCTTCTCACAAAGATGTTCGGATTATTATCATGTTGAAGAATCAAGCCACTAATTATACTCTAAAACATGTTTCGAAAGGACAAGAACATTGTATTGGGGACAGTCATTTTGTTCATTCCATTAGAGGTAGTTTTAAATTGTATCTTTGGTCTGTTTTAGATGATGGTGATAAACGGTGCCTATCCTGGTCTGGAAGCGATGGGGCACGTCATATGCGACGCTGGAGGTAAAGGTCTCATAATGGAGGGTCGTGGTCATAATCCAAACCATGCACAGTGTATTCATTTGACGCATCTTTTTTTTCTTGAGGCTCAGTCCTTTGGTAGCCGTTCGATTAAAGAAAAACGGACAAATCAAATAAATTTACGTGACCTTATTTCGAAACTTGTGATTCAACGGTTGGTGCCATCATGTAAAAGTGGGGCTTGATGGTTTATATACAAAGATAAAGGGGACTCCAGTATAATAAATTCGATTGCAGATTTTCTTAAATGATCATGTAAATGCAACTTTTACGCAGAGGTTGGAAATTTAACCTTTTTCCATTTTTAGATTTTTAAAACGTTTTGACAAATGAACAAATTTTGGATTCACAGATTAAACAGAAAAACAAACTGAACAGTGACTTCCTAAATTGACATCACAGCAACAGCGCCCTCAGTTTTCCAGGAAATCTTGGGTACATTTGAATATTTAAAAAGTACCCTTTGTTACTCCTCTTCCTCAGAAGCGGTACTTCTGCCAGTTCCCGGTTATTACGGAGTCTACAGCAGTCTAAAAATACGAGCCAATGTGGACGTTGTTCCAATCCTGCTGACAGAGGAGGTAACATTCGATTGAAGTAGTCCACAAAAATTTAAAAGATATGATCAAGATTGCCAATTATTTTATAAGAACATATGAGAGTGAGGAACAAAAGAATGTACACGTATTTTCTTCTCCTTTGAAGCAAAGATCCGGAGAAACGGAGCCCTTCCAATTGACCGTAGAAAGGACAGAAGAAGCTTACCAGAAGGCTGTACATGAGGTAAGAAACGAGACTGAAGGAACTCCTATACGAGATGTATCACATACTGGGCTTGTTTTCAGTCATGATCCGAAATATTTGTGTGTCCACCTTGATCACTGATTGCGCGTTTTTGCGTTTGAAGAGTTGGTTTACTGCCAATTCAAAGTGGAAAAAATAAGCTGATCTTTTGGGGCGGATACCTTCTTGCAATGTGTGTGAGAAAACCAGTAGTAATACACTTCAAATACATTGCGTCAAAATGACTTTTGTCGGCAAATTGTTCTCTGCAACCTTTTTTCTCGGATGACTTTATGACTCTGCTTTATTCAAACATGTTCCTAGTTATTGCTTAGGCTTCACGAATATGCTTCTGTAGGGGTTGCGAAAATGCTCCCTTGTTAAATTCAATCTACCACTAATCATGACGTTCTCTAGTAGGGGACACATTTTTCACAAAGGACTTTATATCTGTTAGGTTTCATCGTTATTTTAGTTGAGATAGTTGAACATGCCTCAGTGAAAAAAGTTTAGCAAACAATCTATCCCATAAACTACAAATCAAACGGACCTCATCATGACATAATAATGTCACTTCTGATTTGCAATGACAAAGGAAATTAGTGCAAATTGTGGAAGTATGTGCTATCCTATGGGCTTTAGAGTGGAAGAAGCCAAAAAACTTTAAAAAACGAGAACTGCTTCAATCTGTGACCAAAACAGCTAAGGTTGTAGAGTTTATTTCTTTCAGCATATTCAAACATTTCAGTCCATGAGTACATTTTTGTATCTATAAGGCGTGAATGTCATGATGTCTGGATTAGAATCATAATTATGTTGTTGTTTACTTCCTAAGGGCATCAGGGTGAAGGGATTGTTCCTTGTAAATCCAAACAATCCACTGGGAGACGTGTACAGTCGCACTCAGGTCTTGGATCTCCTGAAATTTGCCAAAAGGTAAAAAACGAAGAGCTGTCAAAAAGGAGAACATTCTTTGATATCCGGGCTTCATAAACCTCTCTTAAATGTTCGTTGCATCATGAGACTGACTGACAAACCAGCCATGCATGTTGTGCATAGACCATCAGTATTTCTTTCTTCAAAATATTTCTGAACTACCTGCTGACCTGGTCACAGATGCATGCATAGTTGACTACTCAAGCAATATATTTTAAATTTAAAATAGAAAATCGAAAAGCTTGTAAGATGAAAAACGATTACCACTACTTTTTAAAGGCATTTTGTTTAGGGTACCAGTCACTTTAGGCTGCACGATGAACGTGATTGGTAAATGCAGGCGGAACAGGCTTCAAACCCTCCCGGGGTTTGTACAGAAAAATTAATTGCTCCCATAAAGCGTCGCGAATGTCGAGAAGATTTATACCACAAAGGGAATGAGGATGAATGTACATGTTAATTATTTCAAGCCGTAAAGATAACGTATCTGGGACATGAACCTTAGGCACGACCTACATGTGGTTCTGGACGAGGTCTACATGAACTGTGTCTTCAATGATGCCACGTCACACTGCAGTATCTTTCAATTCAGCGAAGATGAAATACCAGACCTGCATAAAGTTCACGTCATTTGGACATTCAGCAAGGTTAGAAAGTCAAACAATTCCAATGTAAGAAAGTTTTGCGTCTGTCATTCTGTTGTTAGTATTGATGTTAAAATGAAAAAGGTATAAAGATGTGCTGATAAATGCAAACATTCCAAGTCTATAGATATCTAATTACCATTATTTTTCTGAACGTTAAATTTAATAGTTATAGTAAAATCGAAGATTCAAGGAAGTTTTAGATTCGCTTTCAAGAAATCAGATACCACGGCAATACAGAGTGAAAAACTGCGGCGTCAGATGCTGTTTGACATTAACTGGCGACTGGCAGAACCTCTGAAAAACATCGCACTTTCGTAGACAATCAGTGCGAACCTTCCTAACTGCATGCCTACCGCCATATTCACTGTCCCTCCCGTATTGCAAATTGACGGCCTTCGCATGGCGCCGAGTTTGTAGGAATTTTATCACTAAAATGCAAATTCAGTTGCAGTATTGTGCATGCCTCATTGAATAAGATGGGGCACACCTTACCAAAGTTTGTTCGCAAAACTGGTCATGTTTGAGAAATATGGAGTCCCGCATTGGGTACCAGATTTCAGTCAGTCCAACTTGCATTATGTCACTGAGACGGACATGTCTAGGAGACAGCACTAATGATGTCATGGAGCGAGCCTTTTGTACCGTACCAGGAATGCAGGTAGTTGGTATTTGCAAAGATTGGTGGAGCTGGAATTGCACGTCTGTGCTAGAGACCACAATTTTGCAGTCTCCCCTAGTCTCTTTCTCGTGTCTCACTGTTATCTTGCATCCTTGCTTTCTTAGGACCTTGGTATGAGTGGAATGAGGATTGCTGTCATTTACACCTGGAACAAAGCTGTTCGCGATGCGCTGATTAGTATTGCGCATTTCCAAGCGGTGCCGACAGGATGGCAACGAATGATGGCGAGAATGCTGGCTGATACAGGTGCGTGGGGCCTGTATACTAGGTGTATGGGGCCTGTATGCAGGTGTGTGGGGCCTGTATACTAGGTGCGTGGGGCCTGTATACAGGTGCGTGGGGCCTGTATGCAGGTGTGTGGGGCCTGTATACTTGGTGCGTGGGGCCTGTATACAGATGCGTTGGACTTGTATACTCCAAATCAATTTGAGTCCGATTTTTCTCTTTTTTTCCCACCAACAACTTTGCTAAAAAGCTGACATAGCATTTACTAAGAACGTTTTATTTGGGAGAGGTTAAGACTTCGTACTTATTCCCCGCCGACTATTTTTACTCTCGAACTGATCAGAGCAAGTGTATTCTTTGTATGCATGGGCGTATATCCTGGGAGTTGTGTAAAAAAAAAAACAAAAACAAAAAACAAAAAAAAAAACCTACACACGCTTTTAACGATGGGGAGGGCTATCAAATTATCCCACCACTTTTTTGTAGTGAGCAGAAAAATTAAACAGACTGTGAAGGATTTTCAGACTTCCCAAGGACTAAAATGCATTCAGTACCACTCAAAAAAGGAAACAATAATAAAAAAACCCCATAAATTTGCCTTTCTGATAAGATTCTTTTCGAATGTAATACATACACGTGTTTCAGGTGTACATCAATAACTCGAACATCGACTTCTATATAGTCATACGGTGGCATCCCTCCAACTCGCTTTTCAAATTTTCATGGCCAGGCAAGTTACCCCCCACCTTTCCCCGTCCCCTACTCCCCATGATTTCCAGCACAAACTTACTACACTGTTTGTACGCGTAGTAGAGCAATAGGTGATAAAGTCTTGAAATGTGTATTCATAATTACCTGGAACAGTTTTTCTGTTCCTATTGGTCGAAGCCGTCACGTGACTATGTATTACCATTTCATAATGCCCACTGCGATGTGATAATGTCCGTTGCGTAAAGCACACCCTGGCACCTGGATGCGAGACAGTTTAATCGATTCTGATTGGTCAAGAGTCTGTGTGCACGCGGCCAGCGGAACTCGACACGCGCCTACCAAGTCCATATAAGGAGATACTTCTGGACTACTTGCAAAAGGAATATACCGTAAAATGGGTGGGGGTGTTCGGGAAAATGAAAATAAAACTGTTGAACGAGATCCTTTCAAATTCATCGCACGTTGACTTCTTTGGGCTCTTTGACTAAAATGGTATTTCTAAATGGACATAAGTGTGTGCTTGGTCGGTCGTAAACTAACATTTAAGACCAGCTCGGCAGACGCAATTAATGCCCCAGCCGCAAGTACATTTGTAGGCCTATTCCCTTAATATTAACCCCTTTCGGTTCGGGAGTACTTCGAAGACCAACCGGGGTCTGACGATGACGGTACACTGCAGAGTATGCGGGATCAGTTACTCTCTTAAGCCCCAGAATACAGAGACTAGCAATAACAGAATGTTGTGCAGAAAACGTATAGTATCCAGTGCGACAGTTTTAAAAGGCAGAAACTGCGTTTGCCAATCAGTGCGCCATAACTCTAAGCGCGCTTTTCTCGAAACCAAATGAAGTATTCAGTGTCCTGGCGTTGGAAAGTAACAATTCCTTGTCTTAAATTTTTTCACTCATGTCGAACTCAGAGCGCAATATATAAAAAATTAGAGTGCTAACTTCTCATTCTCTCTTTTTTTCCAGATTGGTTTGCCAATGTCTTCCTGCCGTTCTCCCTGGGTAAACTCAAGGAGATACATAGTTACTTCGTCGAGGGTCTTCGCAAGATAGGTATTCCCTGTCTGCATAGGCCCTCTGGTCTTTATGTCTGGGCAGACCTCTCCAAGGTACACGCTTGAGGTTTTATGAAGGAACAACTCTTTGTCATAACATACCGATTTTGGATTTTGGTTACTTTAACATCCAGTAACACTTTGGCACCGTCTATGGGTGCTATTGCTGAAAATTCAATTAGATGAACACATGCAGAATTCCCTTTGTTGCCACAACACTAAATTTCTTTGTTTTTCCTGCTCGTGACAAGCCTTCAGGATTTCTTTCAAGTAATGCATATTAGTGTGACACCAATTTTAAGAAAATTTTATCAACGTTATCAAGAAAGGACCGTGTTCGAGATACGACAGTCAACACATCAACGTTTACGTGAAGCCATAATCCAACATTATAAGAAAAGAGTGGGCAAAACCTAGACACAGAAAAGCAGCCAAAATACATCAAATTAATTAAATGTTAATTTGTTAACTGTAGATATTACGAGGTCCAGTAGAATCAGTGTCACGGCAGCACTGTGTTATTGAAGACAACAACAACTGTAAATTCGTATAAACAATCTACACTGTGAACAAAGTAGTGACGTCATAGAAATAGTTTAATGTAGATTAAACCACTCTTGTGACGTCACCCTGTCCAGTAAAGTGTTGGTTATTCTTAAGAGCGTACAGATAATTGTACATTTTTTAAGAATGTCGCGTGTCGACATTCTTCAAAAGCGACTTGATACACAAAGAAAAGCACTTGTGACATAAATTACAGCGTCAAACACCGTAAGAAATGCTCTCAACAATAAAGCAGATTGTTTTAGACGTTCAATATGGTTAACACTCGGTAACGTTACCTCGGTGACGCAGTAACGTTTTCTGTTGAGATAAGCCATTTTCAATTACAGCGAACCGCTCCCTACGTTGCACTATATGAATGTTTCTAATGTGTCTAATTTTTACATACCTTTTGAATTTTAGTTTCATTTTAAATATGCCTTCCAGTTTAGTTTTATTTCATCTTTTTTATTTTATTTTAGATATTTATTTTAATTTTTATTATTTTTATCCTTTTTATTTGTGTGTTTATTTTAAAATTCACATGTAGCAACTTTACTTCCGGTTAAACCTCAGTTTTACCCCTTTCTCTGTTATTAAACAACTTTTAAAAACAACTTCAACTATCACAATTCATGTAAAATTTTGCAAAAGAGATTAATCGTTTAGAAACTTACGTATGGTACTTCGAAGATGAATGAGATGATATCCCAAATGCATGTATTTTCCAAACGGAAGAATTTCCTTTGGTGACTGGTGGATTTCAAAGGGCAAGCACGTATGTCCAAGGTTGTAAAGGTAATCTTCATGTGAAGAGACAGTAAACTGTAGGTCTAGTTCTCAAATCAGTCACTCGGGAAACTTGCTTGTTGGTAGTATAAAAGGTCCCCAGCTCTGTACAGTCATATCGATAGCCTTTGCTAATTGCGACTAACAGATATAAATCCATGGACAGTGCCATACACTGATGGTGTCGACTGCATGTCTGCGTGTAACTTCGTGTAAAGTATGTACTGTGCCTGGGAATGAAATATACTTGTGCACCCAGCCGAGCAGTTACTCAACGGCTTAATTGGGATAGGAATGAAGCTTTTATGTACATGCAAATATCTTAGCCAGCCAACGCTAGACAAATGATGGATTCATCTCAAAGCAACAGTAAAGTCTTTTTGTTCTTTTGTACAATATGACTAATAGTACAGTGGAGGGAGGGTCGTGGTCCTCGCCCATTCAAATCAAAGAATGTCCACTTTTTCGTTGTTTCTCCTTAACATAACGCTTGGCCTGTTCAACACTTTCCACAGTTTCTGTCGGCACCGACATCGGAGGCTGAGCTGGAGTTGAACCAGAAGCTGCTAGAATCAGGTGTGCAATTTAGTCCAGGCCTTAACTGCCAAGGCCGCGAGAGGGGGTGGTTCAGAGTTGTCTTCGCTCGAATCAAAACTAGAAAAACCATTGAACTCGGTAAGAAATCTTAACAAATGCTGATTCTGTTGAGACGTTTGGAATTGGAGTAATATAAGAATACAATATGTTCATGTTGCTATTTGATGCCGGTTGTTGGCGTTATTATTGGTCTATCAAAATGGTTGTTTTGTCGTCAAATACCAGCTAATAATCAAAGCAAAATGTTGGTTTTCACACTGTTTTGTTTCGACAGCTTTACAGCGAATACGTCAGGCTTTACACCCCATGCCAGCAGAAAATCTGGATGTACAGGATGTATGTAACGACCAATGTGTCTCCAAGTCCTTCTTGTAAAATGGTATTTAATAAATCTTATACTCATTTGCATATAATGTTATTTGAGAATAAAAGGCTCAAACAGAATTTCTCTTACCACGCAACTTAAAGGCCCGTTCATACTTCACGTAAAAGCGAAAACGAACGCATATATGTGATCTAAATCAAAATATCCTCGTTGCTAAATCGCAACGGGTTTCACATGTATATAAAACTTTGAATTCCACCAATGACTTAGACGAACGTCACCCTTTTCAGAGTAGGAACCCGACAACATACCAACTGTTTCAGCCAAGCTCAAATACAAAAATACGTCTGACTTGAAATTAAAAAGTATAACCCTGAAAAGAGAATATGCGACTAAAATCATGGAAAGTAAAAATGAGCCAAACTCAATTAGTGCTTGCTAAAATAAAGCCTTACATATACCATGAAAGGGATGTAATTCTATCAATTTGTTCATGACATACCAACAATTATTGGTTGCAGCATTTTAAAACTCAAATAGCAAAACATACCTGTCGCAATTTGTGTCTGTCGTAATTAAAATAACTATACTTTTTTCCTGGCCATTTTCGGAAAATGTGTAAATGAATTAGTAACAGCAGCATTCTTTTTTCGAGCGAAATGGAACAAATATTCTAATTTCCATTTCTATTTAACAAAGTTCTATTTCAATGAGGGTGCATTCCGTCGTATAAAGTCAGGGTTCAAATTCACGATAGTGCACTAGTTAAGTATGTTGACATGTACTTCTGCAATCCTGGATTCATCTTAATTTGAACTCAATCCATTTCGCAAAATATGAAGGCGGTTTCGCCTGTGTGTTCTGGTATGCCTGGTCAAGAATTGGCATTCGTTTGTGTGCTTACAAGTTATAATGCAAAGAGTTCCATATACGGACAGCCACTTGACACCCTGTGCACAAACCATATGAAACTGGTATGAAAATTCTGTGTTTTCGAAGTAAATGAATTGTTTTCCCCTTCTAAATTGACCTTTTCTGGACATGATTTTGCTCTCTGACCGCTAATACCACGTCATGGTAGGGAATAATTATTGGCGTCCATATGTGACACTCTTCTCGTTATATTGGTTAAATGTTTGAATACTCATTACTGCACTCACGTTGTCTTTGGAAACATACCGACTATTGTACGAATCCTATTTAAACACCGAGGCCGAGGAAACTCTCCTTCTTGTGCTACGTTTTTGCCACAATCACATCATACAGCGAAGTTGAAGTTCACACGTACCTCCTTGCAATGGTTGAAAGCGGAGGTGTAGAAAAATCCTAAAGACCTTAATTTGTGTACAATTTGTAATCCTTCATGAAGAACATTACATTTGTTGTCGAAGTGGTGTCATAATTTGTGTATGCTTGTATCGTCTAATCACATTGAACGTATATTTTGCGAATTTCAATTACAGCAAATGAAAATGAATACTCACTTCCGAAGGGTCACAGTTAAAGACAGATTTTTGGCGAATAAGAATACACATTTGTTATAATTGCCAACGAATACGTCAAACCGAAATCCCAATTACTTATTTGTAACAGCTTAATGAAACGTAATGCACATTAATTTATTTGAAGGATGCTAAACGATGTTGAATGCGTCGAATGTTGTTACTGCGAAAATGAAACCAGGTTTTAAGTCACGTTCAAAATCTACGTCAAACTGAATTTTCATTTTACAAATTAAATTTCGCATTTTCCAAAATTGGCCAGGAAAACCAACATTAAACTAAAAACTAAAGCACTACTCTCAAGACCTACTGACTCTGTACTTAATGATCTACGCTGACCCATTACATCACATTCTCAATTTGTTTTTCCATTCTATAACATTCCAGCTGATATGGAAGTACTATCAAGTCATAATTATGACAAAACTCAAAATCATTACCTGTACAAAGTCAGATTGACGACTTACATATCAATTAGCACTAAGTATTTAGAAATATTTATGACACATATTAAAATAATTACTTTATTAAAAACACTGTAAAAACGAAAGCCTATTATGAATGTGTCTTAACGTTCATTTTAAACATGTAACCGTAGAAAACTAAATGCCTTTGGGGAAATAAAAGTGTTGCCATGCGATAAATGTGCCTCTATGTCGTTATTAAAAGCCGTGTGTTTTTATGTGTCAAAATTTATCAGTACACCGACACGTCTGAACACGTACACATCGCGATGTGTTGAGATTTGGATTAACACAACACGTTCATATATTTTTTCCCGTGAGGCATTTGAATGCATTAAAATACTGACTTCTTGTTACAGTGGAGTCCTAGGCCTGTATGATATTGTTATGGCACCCAGCTGCATTGTGAACTTGCACGGTGCACTGCATTACCAAGTCATACTGCAAAAACTGGGGTGTTAAATTTAACACCTGCGGGGTTATCAGAAGACTATACCAACACTTTCCACTGGTGTTAAAATTCTGGTGTTATTTGGTGTTACTTGTAACACCTTCTAATGCACGGTAACACTTATAGGTGTGCAAAGTAACATAGTCATCTGATAACACCAAAAAGTGTTGATTTTAACACCCGAGTTTATACTTTTGCCAAGTTACAATTATAAAACGTAAGTCATGTGACTTTGCCAATTTAGAGAAAACACCATATCCCTTCAATGCTTCTGTAAGTTGGTGTACATACTATAAAACATGGTCGTATATACCCGAGTACCATGTGTAAATCACTCATGTATTAAGCATCGCTGTATTCACAGACATCGCTTCCACATTTCCTGGAAAATCCCCGTTTCATGTATTGAGCCTCAGTGAGTCTTTTATTGTCTTGTAATGAGGTACCATCAAATTACAAAAGTTTTTGCCTCTGTTACTGTCTCTCTCAACTTCTTTTTCCTAGGCCGCCATCCAAGACAGAAAGCCAAATTGCCAATCACCCTCTTCCCAAGCAAGCGCAGTGTGCAAATGATAGAGGACGTTGAATCTTAAAAAAAACCACTCTGGAACTGATACCGTGCGCGATATGGGGCAATGGGTACCCCCCCACATGTCCAATCCCTATACACACTCTAGACTATTGTTACCCAACACATCCCCCCTAGAAGTCTGTAAAGAATTCCTGAGTTTCCGATCAAACAATGACCAAACAAAGGTGGGGGGGTTCTCTCCGCCCCCATATCTTGCATCACATGGTGGAACTTGAAGCACATAATTAAAGAACAATAGACCTCTTTATTGATGATGCCACACTTGGCATACATGTGTGTGCTCTCCTTTGGTGGTAAGTGGGCCATAGGCCCCAACTGACTCCACAGGAAAGTGAACGTATAAACAAATTATGTTGTTATTGGTAAATAGGCCTATACACACCGAATGGAGTCTGTCCTCCAAGAAACACTGAAACAAGCCAAGTCTGTCTGCAAATAGTTGACATGATTTCCACGGGGTTTTATCACGCGCTTAACTGGCTGCAACCACGACAAGACATGAAGGACCAAAATTATGGAGTTCATTAGATTCATCGTTAAAAAGTATTGGCAGTAAGTCAGTATTTAAATCTAAATATAAGACTTACTTGTCAAATAATTATTTATAGATAAAGATAACGGGTTTACTTGTCATATGAATGTCCATGTTTTATTAATTTATATTGTCTTATGCTGTATGTGCACATGGTAATCTCTTGATGTAACTTTAACTTGATTAATGTGGGGCCACTTCTTGACAAGCTTTGCCTTTTAGCAACCCCCCCCGTCCACCCTAATTATACAATCAATCTTAATAATGAGTATTTACCCTATCTTTGTGGTGGTAAATACAGTAAGACTGATTGACATGTGCTTTCAACTCATTCAAAGAAACACTTGTGCCCATTCAGATAAAAACTGGCCACATATAGTATGCCACAGTGTGTATGCACTTGCATCAGTCCATGCATGCTTTCTTGTGCCTTCACCAGTGGATACGTACATGTATACGTACATGTATATGTACATGACTGCATACATGTAATCCAATACAGTAAATTATGTACAACTATCAAGTGACAAAATCTGTTTAATTTTTTCATTGGCTGCATTATTTTTCCTTGTTTGTAAGATCCTGTCACAGCATGTGTTTGTGTTCCAAACACCGTTATCCCCCTTCTGCTACCATTTTTCATATTTTCAAATTATGGTCTCAGAGCTTGGCATACCAGTACTGAGTCTGACAGGTGGTGACTCGATGAAAAGGCAGGTGCTGTACGTGAGTTCTCAGGTAGGTTATGCCTTGGGCTTCATTGGCTCAATGTTCAGATCCTTGGCCAAACTTTCCTGTGAAAAAGAAAAAAAACAAAAGTCAGTTTACTGGCTTTGACATTATTACTAAGTGGCCATATTGAGTACAAAATGATTCGTCATCTGCCAAGGAAACTGTTTGTGTTCAATGATCTGCACTGTATACATGAGCAAACTTGCAGCTACATGTGAAACGTATCTATAATGAACTGCTTATCTATGCACGAAAGAACAAAGGGAGAGGAAATGAGGAAATCAACAAGGACTACTGACATAAGGCAAAAAATGATGAAATACAAAGCCACACATTCACATGTAGCTCTGGCCGGATAAAGAGCTCTTGGCAATAACAAACGGCTTTCTGCATTATTTGGGATTTGGCACATGCTTCTTTCTTTTTTCCTTTTTTCTAATTGGCCAGGATAGGCTTTGGGATGGGAACATTTTTAGAAGGACCTGTGGCATTCACTGGTAAACACACTTCACTGCACCTGTGCCGTTTTAGAGTCGGTGGTCTATGGTGAACCTATTGAGTAGCATGTCGTATCATCAGTTCTTGGATGGCATTTGGTGAATCACCTCACATCTGCTGCATGCGGTTGTAAATTTCAATCAAATTGTGAAACATAACTGCACTGTAAGCACAATTTCATTTTTCTCTGTCAATTAAATTATTAGCAGTACTTTCTGTCCCTTGGAAACAATTCCAAAATTTATCGACAGATCTCTCCATTCCCAGTAATTTTTCATTCCTGTATGTTACTCAAATTTAGATGCCAAAAATTAATAACTGCTTCAAACTGCCGAATAAATGCAAAAACTTTGAGTGCCTTGGTCCCACAAAGTCTATTCTCAACAAACAAAGGAAATGTGGCCAATGATGACAGACACTCGACAAAGGTGCAGTCGTCTGGCCTTTTAACCTTTAAAATTCACCTTGAAATGAATCAAACAGGTTGAACTCATCACTGTAATTAAGTGACTCTTGCCTCCCACAATGACCAAAAGGTTTAGGTCTGCATTTGAAAGATTACACATTCCAAATTTCTCTTGAATGTTTGAAACTAGAGCGACCAATTTGCTGCAGTTAGGGTGTCTACAATGGCCAACAGTGAGTCCCATAGGGGTCCAGAAACATTCAATTGAAATGCACTTTATAAATACTCCATTATTGTAATTATTACAGCAAAACAAAGAGCTGATTTCTGTGAACAAGATGAAAGCTACAATGACAGAAGACAAAAAATGAAGTCAGTAGAAGAGAGGAAAATGTCCAACGTAGGATGCCGGTGTCAAAGCGTTGAGACAAGAAGTCCTCTTTTGGTACATGTGACTATCGACTGACCAACATCTGTATTCTGCAGCTTCAGCAAAACCAAACCACAAAACAAAACAATGGGTCTGTGGCTTTCATACTAGACACCCAACTGTAACACTTTAACACCCAACTGTAACACTTTAACACCCAAATGTAACACTTTAACACCCAACTGTAACACTTTAACACCCAAATGTAACACTTAAACACCCAACTCTAACACTTTAACACAGATCTCCAACAAATGTCGATCTGAAACTTCTCAATCTGATTTGAGCTTGTCTTACGTGGCACCACCAACCCCGATTGTGACCATCAGTGATTTGAGACTAAACTCAGAGTTGAAACACTGATTTGAGATTCGAGTGTTTTAACACTCTAACACTCACCATTGACTGTATAAGGTTGCGATGGTATTTGACCCCGCCTTCCTGATCTACATTTTGCATGTGAGTTCTCTCAGGATCACCAGCCACCAGTACCTCATTTTCACCCTCTGCCTACAGGAGTTCAAAATTTGTTTACATAGACTCACAGGTTGACGGCTATTTTTTTTGCGATCAATTGTTGCCTTTTGATTAAAGTTTTGATTTTTACAACCAAAGGGCATTTCTGTCTTGTAAAATTCGATCAATAACCATAAGATGAAATCTGTTTGTCTGTATGTTGTAAAAGGAAATGTTTTACAAATGTACCGTAACATGGGGTAACTTTGGGCCATTTTTGACATACGTTATCATTTCTTCTCATTTCAAGGACAATCAATTTCAATTTTCCTTCTTTTCAGAGCATTGTGTTACTCATCTAAAATTTGATGCTGGAAAAAAAAAAGACATTTCAAAATTTATTGGTGTCTTCGGGCTTAAAACGGGGTGACCAAAGTTACTCTGGGTTTGGGGCAACATTGGCCACCTTTTGGTTTTGGTCTTCATCAAAACGGGGCACGAAAATCAAAATAAAAATGGTTACCATGGTTACCACAAACAACGAAAATGTTAAATAACGAATAACTATGATATTTCTGAATAAAATGATACTAAATACGTCCGCATCCACTGTACGTTTGAAAAAATAACAATGTATCAAACCCTCTAAGGGTTACTGACCTAAGTTACCCCTCTGACCAAAGTTACCCCATGTTATGGTATTTTATTTATGGTATCTCTGTCCTTGTCTACAGTTATGGGGAAAAGTGTCATGTGGAATGTTTGAAGTTTTGTGGTATAGCAAGTTTGGAGTCAGTCAGACATCCTCTAAAAGCCATTCTTTTCAGATTCTGATTAATCAAACAGAAAAATTTTCACAAATAATTAACACTGGATCAAGCGAAGTTCTTGTTGGAACATTCTTCGATATTTAGAATGTTGAGATGCTGTTTTTACACCTTGCATCTGTGAGATATTAGTACTGGGTTCAGACTTCCTATCATGCCCTGTGTAGGATACATCTACATGGGTAATTCCATAAATTTGGGACCCAACTTGTGACATTTTTGGTGTCCTCCTCACACATGAAACCAGTCAGTTTGTTCGCACCTTATACTGAACAACTACATGAAATATTTCGTCCATTTAACAGTATATTAGGCAGCATACAAGCTTGTAATTTTTACCACTTTCCTTGTTCCAAGTGTCTTTCTGTTGTAGTGTCAACCGATCTTCAAAATTTGTATCATGTGTAAGGGGGACACCAAAAGTGTCACACATTGGGTCCCATATTTATGGAATCACCTACATGTATAAGGACAGTAAGAAAAATACCAACAAGAAACATAGATAACTTAATAAAAGGGTCTATTAAAGCAACTCAGTTATTAAAAAAAGAAAATGAATATGCACCTTTGTGTTTCAATTAAACTACATTTTTGTTTTGCTTGTTAAACACATTTTTGCTACCCAAAATGAACTGAAAAACCTACACACCAAACAGTGTCTTCCATCTCACAACTGTGTCCTCCATTATATTGGAAAAAAAAGGTCAATTTGAAATGTTTGGGAAAGTGAACTTTTCAACACACTTTACCCTAAAGGATGTCACACTGATTTCAGAAAGTGAAGAAAAGCATAATACACACAAACGATGTGTCCAAGAAAAATCAATATTGCTTGGACTGGTTGAGGTATCACTGTTTCATAGTACTGCGGCAGCAAAACACAATGAAGGTTCCATCTACTGTAGTTCTGTACACACAATGCTTCTACACGGACATGTAAATTCACCACAATAGCCGGCAAACTTACTGGTTCAGTAGTTCTGCATTCATTCATGAATGTTGACATTCGACCTTGGAATCCAGGGGCAAAGACCTCTGGGTTAATAACAATGAAACACTGGCCCTGTAAAATGCATAAGATCACAAAAGAAAATGGATAGATTGAAGTGCTGGCCATCCTTTATAAAACCATTCCTCTGCAACAATACCAGTAAACAGAAAGAAAGTTTAAGTCCAAATCATAGGAAGGCTCTTTTGCAGGTTGCCTTAGTGGCATGTCATGTACTGATAAAAAAACAGGCCGTGTTGTGCAAGAAATGATTTCAAGGGCAACCTCTAATCAATGATGAATTTCTGCAAACATCAACAACTTGAAAAAGATTTAAGAAATAGCAATTTTAAACCATCTGCCCCGACTATGTATGTTTATCTAATTTTGTTAGATCAGATTCTGATGAAAACTGTTTGCCAATATCTTTCTCCAGTACTGAAGAAGTTTATAACGGTTACATGCAACGATATACTGTATTTTGAAAACAAAAGCCAAGCCATGAAAACAAAAGCAAGTAAAACAACATATGTGAACGGCTCCACAAAAATGGGTATTATGGGACATTTTTGCAATATGAGTCACATAACACTTTTGAATAGGTTACATCATACATTGTAAGCTTTACTTTGGTGTAGGTTTGAACCCTGCGGCATTTTGCAATCTGGAGATATATTGATTTTTGTATAATCATATCATACACATTAACAGAATTGCTTTCTGAGATTTCCTTTAAACAGAGGAAGTAGAAAAAGAAATCAGCCAAGAAGAAAGTCTCTTAAAACCCATTGCAACAGTTAGGTTTCTTGTATGAATTGTGAAAGTAATGATCTCATAGAAGCCAATAAACCAAGAAGTAAAAAATCAACTTGTCCACATAAAAAAGCTCTTAGTGTGAACTAGCGCACTGTCCCTTCATACCCTTTTTTCCAGAGCGGGTCACATACATAATGCTAAACTGAACCGGACAAGAACGCAGCAAACGTGACTTCAAGTTAGTTGGGTTTTTTGGTATTTAACCAGTCCTAAACAGGTATTCAGATTTCATAATACTCTCTGCTCGTTACTTGACATTTGATAAATGTTCACAACACTTTTTATCAGACCAATAGTGTCATTCTATGAATTTGGGGTCCAACATGTCACATTTTTTCAGTCCCTCTCACACCTGACATGTATACTTTGACAGGGGATATTTCACTGAAATTGATTTCAAACTATTTTTATTCGTTTGACAGGAAATTTGCGGTACTTAGTCCATCTTGGAAATTAAACAATGAGTTCTACACATGAAAAAATCACATGCCAGATGGAACAGGGACGGGAAAAAATGGGCCCCAAAGGTATTTCCTTACTAATATTCACAATGAATGAAGAATCCTACGAGTTATCAAGTGGTATTTTTACCAGATTAGCTTCCTCGGTTTTTTGGGTCCATTTCCTGACAAATGGTCCAAAGGCCGAGCCAGCCAGTATTCCACAAAGAATCTCCACAGCCATGCTCAATCCATAGCCCTAAAATGTGGAAACAAAACAAAAAAACGGTCAAGTGAACATCTCTGGTTTTTATAATTGACTTGTAGTAAAAGAAAATTAATCTGATCATACTGTAAAAAGCATACAATGCAAAGGTATCAGTGGACAGAAGTATGGATGTCTGTGATGTTTATCCTTTGGGAGTAGCAAGAGAAATGCGCTAATGTGTCATTAGGGAGACATTCCCATAAGAACGTGCACAAAATTTTTCCAACTTTACTGTCCCTTATTTCAATATTCCCTAATCTGATCTGAACCAAACTTTGTATGTTTCCATTTCAAAATATGGACATTAAAATTTGACCTCCTTCTGATAGTTTGAAAATAGGGAGACACTGAAATGTTTATTTACCACAAAATGTCTCCCAAATGACCTATTTGTAAATATAAATTTTAACACTGTACAACATTACTGCTTGATCAGTGGATCCCTAGTTGGCAGGTCATTATCAGTGACTCCAAATTGTTTATATTGTAAAAATCTTGGGTTTTAACCCTAAGAGTCCCGAATGCTCCAAAGTACTACTTAGTAGTAAAATGTAGTACTCAGCCCTGTCGCTTGTAAGAGGACATGACATTATTATTCTCTGAAGCCATAAAATACAATAGAGAAGACAATGTACCATACAGTGCTGTGGCACTATGAATGCATGGTTTCGTTGTTCTCTGTACGAGTAACAATGGAATAAACCTAGCCAGAAATAGTAATTTGTAGCGCTAGGTCCTTCAGGCTCAGAGTGTTACTTAGTATTTTGTAGTACTGAGTACTCTAAGCCAAACAACGCCTGGTACTGTTAGGGTTAAATACATGTACAGAGTACGTATTATGAAAGCAATTATTTTAGTTGCTTATGATATGTATTGTACGATCCTCTGTTAGATGAACATGTGGTTTGTCTGCAGACTGATCAGCCTGGGAACTAGTCAACTGTCACATTGGTTTTTAATAAGGGAATAGGTATGTGTTCGGCCGGTTTTAACCATGCATTCAAGTCCGGCTCAGCAGAATGGACACGACTAATGCTGGAGCTGCAGGCCAGGGCATTATCAGTGTTCCGTCTTCTGAGCCAGTTTTAAACGTTAGTTTAAGGCCGGCCAAGTACATTTTTATTCCCATTCATAAATAAGTTTTTAGTCAGAGTCAAAAGAAGTCAATATATAATGGCGTTCCAATGATTTTTTCTAGAATTTTACTTTAATTTTCCCTAACACCCCCGTCCATTTTATGGTATATTCCGTGTGCAAGTTGCGCAAAAGAACCTCCTTATATGGACTTGGCACGCGTGTGGCGAACCGCATGCACACAGACACTTGACCAATCAGAATTGCTTAAACTGTCTCATATCCAGGGCGTGATTAACACAGCGGGCATTATCGCTTCTCACTGGGCATTATCAAATGTTAATACACGGTCAAGTTGCACATTGTTGAATAGGGAGACTGTCTGAGGTATTTTTGAATACTTGTTTGTTGCTGATTGGGACTTTGTTTATTTGGTTGATGAAGGTGTAGATGTAATCTACCAATTGTTCATGAACTTTGCTAGTGGACTAATCCACACAACTTGTACTGTACTTGGATGTACCTTCATGTCACAAAGGACAGAAAATGTCAGATGCAGAATGGACTTCAAACAGGTTTGTGTCATTTCATTATCAGAATCCTTTGCAAATTCCAAAATGAACACTGTGAATCATTCTTGGACAAAAAGAGCAGATGACCATCCAAAAATAGCAGTCCTTTTGCAGGAACTTTTAGTTACATACTGTACATGTATATTTCATTTCACAGAGGTCACCACGGGGTATACTATAGAGAATAACCATATTGTGACAAACGGTTTCTACATCTGTCTTCAGGTGTTCAATTATTGATGAGACAGGGGCGGGCACACTGTACTGGCATTCTACCTGCTTTCCAGGAAACACTAACATCTACGTATAAAGTTACTCCAAGTTACCAATCAGCTGTGCCTAACAAGTTCACTGTTAAATACAAGCACTGTGATATCATCACTGATATGTACACAGAAATTGAAGGCACACCTTGTTGGTAATTTTATTTATTGCCCAAATAGTGCCGTAGATTATCTTTCAACACTGATGGGGTACAGCTGATGGAAACTTGGTGTCTGAGAGTTGGTCAAGTAACATTGAAAAAAAAAAAAAAAAAAAAAATACATCTTGAAAAAGAAATATCACAATGTATATTAATTATATTGTGTACATTCATGAAGCCTTTGATTATGAAAACACCTATACAGTGTACAATTGTAACCTGCTGTGTAGGGGTCTATGGCATGTTGTACCCCGGGGGGGTGGAAATGGCACCCAAGGGCAAATACCATAGAGCCCTACACAGCAGGCAACAACTGTATAATGCAGACAGAACTTCCTTTGTTCATTTACATGTAGCATCTATGCATGAACTTACCTTAATCCTAACAGCCCCAAATCCTCCAATTTCCATACGAGTTTACATACACCCTAGGGGGTCAGGGTTAATGTCACATTCAACATACATGTACATGTATATTCATGTCCCATTCAGAATAGAAACTAGCAAAAATAAACAGCTTAAAGCCACATACAATATTTCAATTAACCTCGATATAGAAATTTTGTGATAAATTTAGTCCTGTGATGCTCAGATGTTTTGAAGGTACATGCAGATAACAGTGCCCTTTTTTGCAGAAATAACTCTGTAGGACAAGCAATGAAAGGTGTATAACATTTGAGTTACAAAATGACAGCTTTCATTCACTATAATGTACATGTACTTTCTTTTCATTATGTTCCTGTTACACTGTACTGCAAGTATTTTAAACGTTGAGTATGCACATAAAATCTGCCTGCACAGTACTTGCATGTGTAAAGCAGGAGCAGAAGGGAAGCAGGGGACAAACAGCTTGATATCATTATGCAGCTCCATATCCAGTGCCATATGTCACACTTCTGCCCCCCTTATGACTGACTAGAATGACTACACTTTGCTCATCATTGAATTTCAATAATAAAGCATCAAGTCTACACATACCTTATATCCTCCTAAGATTTCCGGTCCACCCAGAGCCATCAAGCCACCGCCATTCAGCACTTCTGACGGGTTTTCTGTAACCTAGCAGACAAATTTTTAGTGTGATACTAGGGGATTCGAATGCATGTACATGTAGGTGCAAATAGTGTCCTGGGGTACTACCAACCAAGTATCCATCCTGTTTTTTTTCAATTTTTTCCCCAACTCTGCTGCTGTTTTTATTCTGAACTGCTCGTCAGGAGCTGTGGGATCCACTCTTATTTGAAGGCAATGACTACACAGATAGCTGGGACACAGCGACTGTTATGACACTTACAATTGAAATAAATGTTACATGCCTGTTACATGAAAACAAACCCCTCTGTCTGATGTGCAACATGCAATGAACAGTATGGAAGCCAACAGTGTTGAGGTCAGGCATAACTTTTTAGCGTCTGATCTGTTCTGAACTCGGGCAGTAGCCAAAGTTCAGCCCTTACTGGATGGGGTGTTAATCTGTGCCACCCTCTTTCCACAACTATTCTGTGAACAACTGACGAACAAAATGCTAAATTCTAACACACTGTCACGGAGAGAATGCCAGCCGCTGATAAATGGCTGACTCACTACAGAGTATGTACTATGACTATCGGAGGTTGGCCCTGCTAATGAGCACTGTGCATATGTACATGTTGACCCCTGACATCTTACCTTTCCATTGGAGTCAGTGCCCCAGCCACTTGGAATAGACACTTTTTTCATGTGGTTAAGTTCCACCTGTGAACAACACAGAAACCGTCTGCTGTAAACAAGTACACAAAAGGGGTTAAGCGTGGCTTTCATCGGGAAATTGAAATTGGTTGTAGAAAATATTCCATGCCATTGAAAACCGGGTCTTGTATGTATTGTAAGTAGGCTGACCCACACCGTAAGACGATCAAGCACAAAGTCTCAGGGACCTCATACCAGAATGGCCTCTACCTTTATCTAGACAAGGTTGTTCTCAAGGTACCATGTCTCCGAAGGCTGGGGTTTATCCTTTGTTTCCTAAGCAGAAATGACTGAAAATACATTTCTATTCACCCATAACTAATACACATGTAGGATGCAAGCCCAGAGCAGGTCCACCACACCTAATGCCATTGCCCATATCTATGCCTGGCTGTAGGGAAGCAAGTACAAGCAGGCAGGTCAGGATAAAGTGGCTTGCCCAAGGACACAACATATGACTGCTAGCTGGATTTCAGCCTGTGAATTGGTATGTACTGGTATCGCCACTCATGAGATCTACCTCCCCAAAAAACCTGTATCTCAGATCTAGAGCATGAAGACCATACTAAGGTGCAGAATCATACAACTGGCTGCCCTGTTACATCTGCTCATTTCTGCCAACATGGAGAAAAAACACACGTCTTAGATCCCGCTGCCACTCTATGCATGCTTCAAGTGCATATTACGGGTCAATAGCAGAAATTGCATCAAACATCCTTTGGGAGACACAGTCTTAAGAGGAGATGAGGGCTAATCTCCTTTATGCAACGCACAGGTGGCTTGTAACCGACTGCTGGGCAGTCATCCAACAGTAGACTGGCATGATGAGCAGGGGTAAAACAACACGGACATATACATGTACATTATACTGTACCACGTTCAGCCAGTACATATAATAATACATACGATACAAAATATACAAACTACGTGTATGAACATCTATTTGTACGGTGTCTTAGACTTTGCTTCATCAGAGAGCAGACAAGA